GCATACAGGTCATCGTCAACTGCACGAGAACGATTACTCATGCTATAGAGGATGCTAAGATAAATTATCAATCGACAGTTTATTAATATGATACAGTCTGTAACTGTAATATATAAATATCAAATAATGTGTTTGAGTAAACATAAATTGTGTACTATATCTAAAGAATGTAAACTGTATTATGTTAAACCTATTCTATACTATTAATTAACAGTGAATAAAGTAAATCAAGTAAAAGTTAGAGACTATTTATTCCGCATAACAATAAGACGGAAGTCTCAATGATGAATTGTATCAGTCGATACCTGTGAAAGGCAAGAATGTTGTGTTGTGACCTAGATATGACTGGAATGGGTCGACTAGGGGAGACAACAAAGTATATTACTCATGCGTGGTAATAACATACCTTGATGATAAGGAAGTTTTTTTTACCACATAGGATATAGTTATTTAAATTATGAGTTGAATTAAGTCTTTGATAATTTCAACTATGTATTATGTTTGGTAATAAGGTCATGTACCAGACTCGTTTGGTAATTTATTAAACTCATTTGTCTTGTTTATACTACAGTTATTGGGTAATTGAAATATTTTTTCCTCCTATGTGAATGTATATTGATGCATTAAATATTAAATATAATGCTTGTACATTTAAAGTTTTTGTTCAAAACACTGACATATTTTAATTATCACTGATATAGTCACTACATACTGTTGTATTTGTATGCACTATACATTTATGACTACAAGTGCTTAGTCTAAAATGAATATATTTTACTCTACTTTGAGTTGTACGCAATTTTTTGTTATCTGGCACATGATCCTGCCCTACCAATACTGTATTTATAAATTTTGTTGTCTGGCACATGATCCTGCCCTACTAATAATGTATTTATAAATTTTGTTACACAAAATTTTATTCGAAGGGGGGACGTGTCACAGACTGTATTATTATGTATCCTTATTATATTGTGTTTTGCATGAATGAAGAGTACCTGGCTAGCGGAAGGACTGTCTGAGCGATCGTCATGTGTTTTTTCATGCTTTTGGGTGAGATCGCTCATTGACGTAAGGGGAGAGAAAGTAGTGAATAAAAGGGAGAGCAAAAAGGTGAACGGGTGTTGTGTGCTAGAACTTGAACCTGAGGACTGTGGCTGTGAATGTAGGATGTTACTACGACACTTTGTTTCTTGACTGTGATTGTACTTATACCAGTTGTGACCATGGATTTACTATGGATCTATTAATTCTCTGTACAAAGTGTAAATAAAGTTATTGTTTCACAACTACTGTTGCTCGTATGAGTATATTGAAGAACCCACAATAACAACAAAGAATTCATGTTGTTACAAGTTACTAAGAAAGTTAACAGTCCACGAGTTACTAAGAAAGTTAACAGTCAAAGAGTTACTAAGAAAGTTAACAGTCCACGAGTCACTAAGAAAGTTAACAGTCCACGAGTCACTAAGAAAGTTAACAGTCCACGAGTCACTAAGGAAGTTAACAATCCACGAGTCACTAAGAAAGTTAACAGTCCACGAGTCACTAAGAAAGTTAACAGTCCACGAGTCACTAAGAAAGTTAACAGTCCATGAGTTACTAAGAAAGTTAACAGTCCACGAGTCACTAAGAAAGTTAACAGTCACGAGTCACTAAAAAGTTAACAGTCCACGAGTCACTAAGAAAGTTAACAGTTCACGAGTCACTAATAAAGTTAACAGTCACGAGTCACTAAAAAGTTAACAGTCCACGAGTCACAAAGAAAGTTAACAGTCCAAGAGTTACTAAGAAAGTTAACAGTCCACGATTTACTAAGAAAGTTAACAGTCCACGAGTTACTAAGAAAGTTAACAGTCCACGAGTTACTAAGAAAGTTAACAGTCCACGAGTTACTAAGAAAGTTAACAGTTCACGAGTCACTAAGAAAGTTAACAGTCCAAGAGTTACTAAGAAAGTTAACAGTCACGAGTCACTAAAAAGTTAACAGTCCACGAGTCACAAAGAAAGTTAACAGTCCAAGAGTTACTAAGAAAGTTAACAGTCCACGATTTACTAAGAAAGTTAACAGTCCACGAGTTACTAAGAAAGTTAACAGTCCACGAGTTACTAAGAAAGTTAACAGTCCACGAGTTACTAAGAAAGTTAACAGTTCACGAGTCACTAAGAAAGTTAACAGTCCAAGAGTTACTAAGAAAGTTAACAGTCCACGAGTTACTAAGAAAGTTAACAGTCCAAGAGTTACTAAGAAAGTTAACAGTCCACGAGTCACTAAGAAAGTTAACAGTCCAAGAGTTACTAAGAAAGTTAACAGTCCACGAGTTACTAAGAAAGTTAACAGTCAAAGAGTTACTAAGAAAGTTAACAGTCCACGAGTCACTAAGAAAGTTAACAGTCCACGAGTCACTAAGAAAGTTAACAGTCCACGAGTCACTAAGGAAGTTAACAATCCACGAGTCACTAAGAAAGTTAACAGTCCACGAGTCACTAAGAAAGTTAACAGTCCACGAGTCACTAAGAAAGTTAACAGTCCACGAGTCACTAAGAAAGTTAACAGTTCACGAGTCACTAAGAAAGTTAACAGTCCACGAGTTACTAAGAAAGTTAACAGTCCACGAGTTACTAAGAAAGTTAACAGTTCACGCGTTACTAAGAAAGTTAACAGTCCACGAGTTACTAAGAAAGTTAACAGTCCACGCGTTACTAAGAAAGTCAACAGTCCACGAGTCACTAAGAAAGTTAACAGTCCACGAGTTAGTAAGAAAGTTAACAGTCCGCGAGTTACTAAGAAAGTTAACATTCACGAGTCACTAAGAAAGTTAACAGTCCACGAGTCACTAAGAAAGTTAACAGTCCACGAGTCACTAAGAAAGTTAACAGTCCACGAGTTACCAAGAAAGTTAACAGTCCACGAGTTACTACGAAAGCTAACAGTTCACGAGTCACTAAGAAAGTTAACAGTCCACGAGTCACTAAGAAAGTTAACAGTCCACGAGTCACTAAGAAAGTTAACAGTCCACGAATCACTAAGACAAATCCAAACGCCTGGTCACCAGACATCAATGCTTCCACGCCCATTCGTCACGAACCGGAAATCAAGTGTCTTTAATGGACATGCGCACAGCCACATATCCGGTCCCAGACAAATGGGCATCCCAATGTTCCATTCTCAAACTAGCAGTCTTCACTTTGATGTATCCACTTTTTGTTTAAAGTCACGGCATTTTGATATATCCAATTTTTGTTCAAAGTCACGGCATTGTGATGTATCCACTTTTTGTTTAAAGTCACGGCATTTTGATATATCCACTTTTTGTTTAAAGTCACGGCATTTTGATATATCCACTTTTTGTTTAAAGTCACGGCATTTTCGTATATCCACTTTTTGTTTAAAGTCACGGCATTGTGATGTATCCACTTTTTGTTTAAAGTCACAGCATTTTGATATATCCACTTTTTGTTCAAAAGTCACGGCATTTTGTGTTTGAAGTTGCTGTATTTTAATGTATCTATTTTTGTTTAATAAGCTCATAGAATTTTGATGAACAGTAGGCCTACATTCTTTCTCAAAAGTAAAGATACATTTGATGTCTTTTTTTTTTTTTTTGCTGGAACTAACGCCATTTTGAGACTGTTTCTATACCATTTGTTTAAAACATTTGAAAACTACATCGCTACCTTTTCTACGAGCTCGTGGCTACGTCACAAAAAAACAAATTGTTCCATGTTACATTATATAATTTCAGACGACGTACTCATAATGTAAACCAGGGGTCTCCAAACTACGGCCCGCGGGCCGGATGCGGCCCGCGAGGTCCTCTTATCCGGCCCGCGGAGATCTTTTTGTTCACGGACAAAAACGTTTGTTGGTTATGGCTGAGGAACTTTGCCCAGAAAAATCAAAGACATGCCTGGAAGAAACTGGCCCCCGAACTGAAATTTGATAGTTAATGTGGCCCTCGGACTAAAAAGTTTGGAGACCCCTGATGTAAACAAATTGAAAATTAATTTTAAACTTTAAAAGTTCGATTGTGGAATTTTATACATCAGAGAATTTAAGAAAACATTCTTAAATTTAATTTATGTCAAGTAATTTAACGAAAGTTGCGTAACTTTACAAAATGGCAATTTAACACAAAAATCGTACATTTAAATGAGGTAATTGTACACAATATTCTTAACTTTAAACGCCAGCTAGTTATTTTTTTAAATAATATTTTTTAAATTAAATATTTACACGCGGTCCGTATTTTTTTTAGATATTTTTTGACAAAGTGATGATTCAGGGAAAAGCACAAAAAAAAAGCCAAAAAGATTGTAACACAATGCTTGTTAGATGTAAATGTTGTATGACAAATGACGGACACTAATTTGCAGGTTGCTACATGTTGGATCCATCATTTTGTCTAGTGATGAGCTAGTCAGATATTTTGACAGACCAACCCCTCCCCCACCCCCCCCCCCCCTCCTCAGACCTGGACCTCTCGGACCGGATATTAAACCCGCAGCGTTGTCACGTGACCGCATCAAGATGGATACCGCGAGGGCGAAGAGTTTGCTATAATTCACCCCACGGTCCTAATGAGCAGACGACGACAGCAGACGATGATTATTCCAAGACGGTCTGGGTGTGTGTGTGTGGGGGGGGGGGGGGAAGAATGGGAGGGAGGGGGAAACCAAAATTTGGGACTGGCCAATTTTTAAGAAAGAGGGAAAAAAAAACAAAAGAAGTCTAACAATGATTAATTTTTGAGGTAATGTACGAGATTTCGTGCCTTCAATCTCGGACTTTCACGCCGCGCGCGAGACTGGGGCGGAAGTGGGGTGAGGAATGGCGGGATTAGCCTTCATTTTGGCGCGCCCATTATGGGCAGGCGGGGCGGTAATTTGGAGTTTAAGGAGCGGAAAAATGTTTTCAGCAGTAAGTGATGGAATATGCGGGGTTGGGGCTTTGGTGGAGGGGAGGGTGGGTGTCGGGGAAAAGGGGTGGTGGGGATTTGGGTTTATGGGGACTGGGTGTGGTGGGGACTGGGGTTGGTGGGGACTGGGGTTGGTGGGGACTGGGGTTTGTGGGGACTTGGGTTTGGTGGGGACTGGGGTTTGTGGGGACTGGGGGTTGGTGGGGACTGGGGGTTGGTGGGGACTGGGGTTTGTGGGGACTGGGGGTTGTGGGGGCTGGGTTTGGTGGGGACTGGGGTTTGTGGGGACTGGGGGTTGGTGGGGACTGGGGGTTGGTGGGGACTGGGGGTTGTGGGGGCGAGGGTACTGGGGGTTGTGGGGACTGGGGTTGGTGGGGACTGGGGTTGGTGGGGACTGGGGGTTGGTGGGGACTGGGGGTTGGTGGGGACTGGGGGTTGTGGGGGCTGGGTGTGGTGGAGACTGGGGTTGTTGGGGACTGGGGGTTGTGGGGGCGAGGGTACTGGGGGTTGTGGGGACTGGGGTTGGTGGGGACTGGGGGTTGTGGGGACTGGGGGTTGTGGGGGCTGGGTGTGGTGGAGACTGGGGGTTGTGGGGGCTGGGTGTGGTGGAGACTGGGGTTGTTGGGGACTGGGGGTTGTGGGGGCGAGGGTACTGGGGGTTGTGGGGACTGGGGTTGGTGGGGACTGGGGGTTGTGGGGACTGGGGGTTGGTGGGGACTGGGGGTTGGTGGGGACTGGGGGTTGGTGGGGACTGGGGGTTGGTGGGGACTGGGGGTTGTGGGGGCTGGGTGTGGTGGAGACTGGGGTTGTTGGGGACTGGGGGTTGTGGGGGCGAGGGTACTGGGGGTTGTGGGGACTGGGGTTGGTGGGGACTGGGGGTTGTGGGGACTGGGGGTTGTGGGGGCGAGGGTACTGGGGGTTGTGGGGACTGGGGGTTGTGGGGACTGGGGGTTGTGGGGAATGGGAGTTGTGGGGACTTGGGTTTGTGGGGACTGGGTTTGGTGGGGACTTGGGTTTGTGGGGACTGGGTTTTGTGGGGACTGGGTTTGTGGGGACTGGGTTTGGTGGGGACTGGGGTTGGTGGGGACTTGGGTTTGTGGGGACTGGGGTTGTGGGGACTGGGGTTGGTGGTGACTGGGTGTGTCAGGGACTGGGGTTTGTGGGGACTGGTTAGTAGGGACTAGAGGTGTTTGGGACTGAGGGTAGAGGGAGGGGATGGTAGGGACTAGGGGTGTCGGGGGCTGGGCGTGGTGGGGGCTTGGTGTAGTGGGGTATGGGGGTGTCAGGGACTAGGGGTGTCGGGGGCTGGGCGTGGTGGGGGCTTGGTGTAGTGGGGTATGGGGGTGTCAGGGACTAGGGGTGTCGGGGGCTGGGCGTGGTGTGGACGGGATGGTGGGGACTAGGGGTGGTATGAAGTAGTGGTGGTGATGACAGGGTATTGTATGGATAAACACAAGTCTTAATCGTAAGAATAGTTAAAGAGAAACAAAAGGCAAGATTCAAGTTCAGTAACGCCATGATGAGTATTAATTGATTTATAGACCAATGCACGTGAAAAATTCGATCTTTCGTTCTCGGGTACTGGTGCTACCAAGAGCATTGTTCACGTTTAGGTCACACAATACTGTCACGCGAGTGTCACGTTAGTTCAGACGCCCCCTCCCTCACCCGTACATTATTACAAATTTTATATAAGTTGTTGCTTCACAGAAAAAAAATTCTTTTTTTTTTAAAAATGCAATAGCTGGAATTACCGACTTATTGGTAAGTCCGATACTCAGTGGTAAGGCAGACACTCTCATGTTATACTGACACTCCTGAGTAGGAAAGACAGACTTTTTGTGTGATACTGGCACTCCTATATGTATAGTGTAATACTGACACTCCGTGTTTACCCAATTGTCTAAGGCTTACACCCGTGTATAAACCTGTTTCAGACGGACACTCCGGTTAAGCTGATTCGAGTAACTATCACACAACTTGAACTGTAATGTTGAATGTAGACGACATAAGCATCCTTTTTATACTCAACTTTTGTTTGTAGATTACATGTATGTATATTTAGTCTTAATCAACAAAATTTCGTTTAATCAATTTCTTAGTCATGTCATTAATTAATTTTTTTTTTTTTTTTTTTTTTTTTTGTGTGCGCTAAATTATCTTCTTCATTTTCCCTACTACTAAGCACGTATATTTTATTTAGAAAAAATCTTTTCAGCAAAGCTATAGTGTGCAGGGGAGGCTACTGCCAACATTAGAACACAAGTACTAATTATAATTTATCCAGTTTTACAAAGAGGATGCATTTTAACGGGCGATAATTCATCCGATAAGGGGGGAGAATTCTAGAGAGAGAAATCTGAAACAATAGCAATCTCTTGAATGGAATTTTTTTTTTGTAAGGCTTGAAATAATAGGGGCGAGCTTGATGGGGGATAACTCGTATCAATTTCACAAACACCTGGCTGCCTGCACGAGTTAATGGCCTTGTGCGTTTACATTTTAGTTTAATAAATTGTGTCCCTTGAAATATTTTATGTAGATAATTTGACTCTCGGCTTTTAAAATTTTGACTTTATATTTTGTTTTAATTCCAGAAAATGCGCAGCTGTATTAAACAACTGATAAATCTTATAATAAACAGCAATTTTAATTATATAACTTCAATAACTTGCACACCATTATTATCTGTGACTTTATAACAATCCAAAAATGTACAATGCTGAGAATTTGTTATATTAAATTATGTAAGTGTAGAAGGTATAGGTCATAATGGTGGGGGGGGGGGCGTGATAATCTAAATATTTAAGAATACATAATTTATAAAATCTTTCAATTAAACGAATTGATTGTATCACGCTTTCATTAATGAAAAAGAAAAAAAAATGTTCAAAATATTGTAGTATAGCTTATATGATAAATTGTCACCATTGTAGTAGCTGACCCAAAATGTATTTCATCATGCCTACATTGATATTTTGTGTTGAATGTTTTACACTTTTTCACGAAATATACTCTCACTTATGTATGTTGATTTAAAAAAAAATTAAAATAGGAGTTGCTTCAATATAACAATTTCGATTCACAAGAAAATTCTGCATATATATTATATGTTTAGACATAAATGAAAATGTAGAAGAAAAGCAATAACATTTAGTGTTGCTTAATGCAAATCAGTCATAAGGTCACACTTCAACATATTATTTATGCATAATTCCTGCATATATTACAATAACAAATTAAATTCGAAATAGGAACCTAATTCAGTTTTAATTCTAATTATCTGGTATGTTTTTTTTCTTAATTAACTGTGATGGGGGGGGGGGGGGGGGACAAATCACCCCACTGCGAACACCCAGTAGAGGGAAGGGGTTAACGATGAGTGTCGACTTTTCTGAACTATGTGATAGTGTAAACAATACCACGTGACCCGCTCTCAGAGCTATAAATAAATAAATTTAACTCTCTATTTAATATGAACAAAAACCAAAAATAGTTTTTTTAAAAAAAAACAAAGACGAATAGGTTTTTTTTTTAGTACTTAGAAGCGACCTCGTTACTATTCGTGGTGAAAAAGAAACTGTTTAGCCTCGTTTTGAATAGTACAACAACAACGTCATTGACCTTAATCAACAACAGCACGAGACGAGTGAAACAAGGTCGCTGGTGTAAACAAGATCGTTAAGGTTGTACGTCACTGCGCTCGGCTTTAAATCGATGACGCCAGTGTACAATGACGTCACAGCCACATGAAAAACAAGGATGTCTTTTATGAAAAAAAAATTGGACGCTTAAGATAAGTTGGTGGATGTTGTTGTTGCCATGACTAAATTGAAATGTGGTTCCAGTTTTTATATTTACTCAATAACTTCACAACATATTTGTGTTCTAGATTCTTTCCTCTTCTTAGTACATTTAAAAGACTTTAGTCTTGAGTCGTTCATTTTCGTAGTAAATTCACAGACTTTCGGAAATGAGTCTTTCATTCTTAGTAAATTCACAGACTTTCAATTAGTCTTTCATTTTCTTAGTCAACAATTTCACTGATTTTTGTTTAAAATTTCAACCTTCAATAACATCTTCTTACCCAATGACCAATCGAACTAAACGAGTTAGGTCTTGTTTGTTTTTAAGAGTTCGCTACATCTGAAACACGCACAATGCCTTTTAATTTCCTTCATGCCGGGTATCCATTTGAGCTGAAGACGTTCAAGTAAGCTCCTCGAACTGAATCAGGTAACTTTCTGGTTACTCTACCTAAGCTCCATCAACCGATCGTTCAGAATGCTTGTGTTACCATCCTTCAATATTTAAAAGGATAAGAATAGCTATTTTAAATTACAAACGTTTTGGGCTTATATCCATTAAAGTTTAATCCGACATCGTTTGGACCATTTAATCTCGCTGTCACCTGTACACCAAGAATAATATAATTCATTCTTCTTCTTCTTCGTTCTTAATTTTTAGTGTTGGCAGGGATCGAGCCTTATCTGCCAGAGGGTTTGAACTCGAGACTTTTTTTTTCGAATTTATCAACCATGAGCTTTTGCCGACTCGACCACACCTCCATCACAATTAAGGATTACAAGTCAACTGTTTTTGCGCCATTGAGGCAATTGACTCTGATTTCAGCCTGCTTTTGGATTTGCTTCCATAGCCTTTGTCCAACCAAGGCAGCAGTTGTTCGATTATGGAGTTGTCTCTCCTAGAAGAGTGGGTACGAACTCGAGACTTTTCGGTTCAGCAACCATGAGCTTTACCGACTCGACCACGCCGACCCCTTAATTCATTCAAATGGTGCATTATTTCCACTTCCCGGAACCCCACTCTCAGAGTAGTTTAATAAATTATGTTCATGTAGGCCTACATTTCAAACATTTAATTTTATTATTTAAGTTGATTCCATATTCACCTTTGTGTTGATTCGCTAAGGACCTATCAGGTACCGAGAAAATAATTTCGATTGAATAAAAAGTCTAGTTAAGAATACACAAGTAGACACACAAACATACACACACAAAAACATATATATATATATTATATTATATTATATATATATATATATATATATATATATATATATATATATATATATATATATACATACATACATATATGTATATATATATATATATATATATATATATATATATATATATAATATATATATGTATATATATATATATATATATATATATATATATATATATATATATATATATATATATATATATATATATATATATATGTGTGTGTGTGTGTATGTATGTGTGTTGTGTATTGTGCGTATGTCTAAATATCTTATATTTAAAAGTTGTCTATAAATTGACACACTACAATACCAGGAACACATTATATTCCATAGCCCTAACCCTAGCCCTATTTATATATATATATGCAAATTGCTTTGTCTTGGACCCCATGTACGGAAGCTATTAACTTAAGTGCGGGAAAACATCCGGCCAATTACCGAATCCGCCCCCCCCCCCCCCCCCCCCCCACACACACTCTACCCTAAAACAGTGTTCGTTAATATAATAAGTTTCATCTTTCCCTGTCCCCCAGTATGATCCCTAAACAGAGCGTCGCCAATTTTTAGCACCGCAAAGTCCTGTGGCGCAAGAGCCAGTGTTGGCTAATGTCTCGATGAAAAATACAAAATTTTCCGCATATTTTTCGCCCCCCCCCCCCCCCCACTCTGCATCGAGATCTGCAAGCTGTGTCCAACATGGAATTAGGGTCCCCCCCCCCCCCCCAGCAGGATATTTGCACGTGTGGTTTGTCCTCTTTTGATCGCGTTCATTGGTGTTGGCTCTTTTAGAAAGTCCCGCCTGGATCCCCCTCAATCTACAGACATGAAATCCACGCGCGCTGTAAATGAATGAAACGCTGCGCAGCAAAACGTACCCTGCAGCGCGGCGCAGCGACCGCACCGTTCTCCTTTCGGTGTAGCTCGTAGCGGGAATCCCCGAATTTTTCAACTTCGCCTCCCTGCAATGCGCATCTTGTTAGCGTCATCCAAACCTAGTTTGTCACAAAACATTTCCGAAATGCTTCCAAATATACAAGCAGGATCGACCCGTGGGTTGAAACCTCCCGAATGACCCGTAACAATTTATGCGCCACATTGCCCGTGCGTAGGTAGTTGAACCAAGCGCTTAATTCCATCATGGTAATGGTCTCTAGGACCAGACCACCGTCTCCCGCTTGCTTCAAACTGCTGAAATTTACATATAGCCCCCACAGCCGCAATTAAATTAGTGGTGTAACGTTGTTATTATGAAAACTAATGAGCATCTTAGCGGCGTACTCTAATGGCGGTTTTATGGAGTTTTTATAGCCTCGTTCTGGTTCCTAAACTAGATTGTGGTGTTCCCATTGGCTCAGTTTGTAAAGCGAAATAAAAATAATTTAAAATGGGGGGGGGGGGGGAGGGGGGGGCTTTAAAACCCTGCAAAACTGGCAGATTCTGATAAAATAGATGTATCTTTTTATAGACTCTCTTTGTAATACTTAACCTACATAAGAGGTAATCTCAGGGGCCAACAACTGTTTTAAAATAGCCTTTCTTCTTCTTCTTCGTTCTTAATTTGTTAATGTTGGAAGGGATTCTCTCCAACACAAATAAGCATTTCATGTCAACCTGTTATGCCCAATATAGGCCGTTGACGCCGATTTCTGCCTGCTTTTCTTTTTGGGTTGCTTCCATAGCCTTTGTCCATCCAAGAACAAAGTATAAAACAGCAGTTGATTGATTTTGGAGTTGTCTTTCCTAGAAGAGTTGCTGTCCTCATCTATCGAG